CGGGCTGGAATGCAGTGGCAAGATCATAGCACACTGTAACCTGGAACTCCTGTGCTCAAGCAATCTTCCCACCTCAGCCTTCCTGGTAGCTGGAACTACAGGCACATGCCACCATGCCCAGCTAATATTTTTTACTTATTTTATTTTAAAATGTATTTAAATTTATTATTTATTTATTTTACTTATTTATTTTCTTTGACACAGAGTCTCACTCTTTTGCCCAGGCTGGAGTGCAATGTCACAATCTTGGCTTACTGCAACTTCTGCCTTCTGGGTTCTAGTGATTCTCCTGCCTCAGCCTCCCAAGTAGCTGGGATTAAAGGTGCCACTATGCCTGGCTAATTTTTTTGCACTTTTAAAGTAGAGGACAGGGTTTCACCATGTCAGGCTGGTCTCGAACTCCTGACCTCAGGTGATCCACCCACCTCGGCCTCCCAAGGTGCTGGGATTACAGGCATGAGCCACCATGCCTGGCCTATTTATTTTTTAGGAGGTGGGGGTCTTGCTTTTTTGCCCAGGCTGGTCTTGAACTCCTTGAGTTCAAGGGATCTTCCCTCCTCAGCCTCCAAAAATGCTGGGATTAAAGGCACAAGCCATTGTGTCCTGCCGATATTTTTATTTTTAATCTTTATAGAGGTGGAGTCTCACTATGTTGCCCAGACTCGTCTCAAACTCCTGGCCTCAAGTGATCCTCCCACTTCAGCTTGGCCCTCTTTTTCAATTTAGAGGCCAAAGACTGATGAGTAGGACTTTCTAAATCTCCTACCTCACAATTTTGCCTAAAATGATCCCTATTCAGGATGGTTCATTTACCATTAAATGTTTCTTCTTCTTTCCTCACCCTCCCCTCCCCCTCCTCCTCCTCCTCCTTTCTTCTTCCTTTCTTTCTTTCTTTCTTCTTCTTCCTTCTCTTCTTCTTCTTCCTTCTTCTTCTTCTTCTTCCTTCTTCCTCTCTTCTTCTCCTTCTTTCTTCTTTCTCCTTCTCCTTCCTTCTCCTTCTTCCTTCTCCTTCTTCCCTCCTCCTCCTCTTCCCCCCTTCTCCTCCTCTTCCCCCCTCCTCCTCCCTTTTCTTGTTCTTCTGCTTCTGCTGCCACCTCCGCCTCCTCCTCCTCCTCCTTCTTCTCCTCCTCCTCCTTCTTCTCCTCCTCCTCCTTCTTCTCCTTCTCCTTCCTTCTTCTCTTCTTCTTCTTTCTTCTTCCTCCTCCTTTTCCTTCTTCCTTCTCTTTCTTCTTTCTCCTTTTCCTTCTTCCTTCTCCTTCTTCTTCCTTCTTCCTTTCTTCTTCTTCCCTCCTCCTCCTCTTCCCCCTCCTCCTCCTCCTCCTCTTCCCCCCCTCCCCTTTTTCTTGTTCTTCTGCTGCCGCTGCCGCCGCCGCCGCCGCCTCCTCCTCCTCCTCCTCCTCCTCCTCCTTTCTTTCTCCTTCTCCTCCTTCTCCTTCTTCTCCCTCTTCTTCTCCCTTCCTTCTTCTTCCTCTTTTTTTTTTTTTTTTTGAGACAGAGTTTAGCTCTTGTTGCCCAGGCTGGAATGCAGTGGCATGATCTCAGCTCACTGCATCCTCCGCCTCCCAAGTTCAAGCAATTCTCCTGCCTCAGCCTCACAAGTAGCTGGGATTATAGGCATGTGCCACTATGCCTGGCTAATTTTTTGTATTTTTAGTAGAGATGGGGTTTCTCCGTGTTGGTCAGGTTAGTCTCAAACTCCCAATATCAGGTGATCCGCCTTCCTCAACCTCCCAAAGTGCTGGGACTACAGACGTGAGCTACCATGCCCAGCCTCTTCCTTCTTATGTTTCAAGAATCTGTTCTCAAGTAGCTTTTGAATAAAATGAAGTGTAACTGAATAGTTCTCAATTATTTTGACACCTTAAAAACTAAAATATTAAAGGCACTTAAAATTCTGGCTATTATAAAAGTAGGGCTTTGAGCAATTTGGAAATGGTGGGAGTTTTTGTCTATTTGTCTGGCTTGCCTTTTCATTAGTTTTCTTGATTTCAAAATGGTTTCCAATCAAGTTGCAAGAAAAATTGTTTTTTTCTTTTGATTCAAATAAATAGAGCAAAGAAAGGTATCTGAACTAACTCTTTCAACATAAGTTTCAGCAGTCAGTTCCCTGACACTAAGGTGGGTAATGCAAACTTTAGTGCTGCTTTTATATTGTAGGCTTTGAGATCCTTACAGCCAAGTAAAGACTGTGTAGCTTGTAGATTCTACGAGAACCTCATCAGAATTCTGATACATTGTAATCAAAAGGACATCTATTACTTTTATTTATAGTGTTGCTACCACCGTTTCCTATACATTTCATTTTACTGTTAACTTTGAGTTGAACAATGTATCAACAAAAGAATGTTAGCCCAGTGTGGTGGCAGACACCAGTAGTCCCAACTGCTTGGAAGGGTGAGGCAGGAGGATCCTTGATCCTGTGAAGTTGAGACTGCAATGAGCCATGATAATGCCACTACACTCCAGCCTGGGCAACAGAGTGAGACTCAGTCTGAAAAAAAATAAATAAGTAAAAATAATTTTTAAAAAATGATCCTTTCATTGTTGTATGTTCTTTTATTGTTGAATATTAAAAACACTTTATGGGCCAGATGTGGTGGCTCACGCCTGGAATCCCAGCAGTTTGGGAGGCCAAGGCCGGTGGATCACCTGAGGTCAGAAGTTCAAGACCAGCCTGGTCAACATGGTGAATTCCTGTCTCCACTAAAAAGTCAAAAAAATTAGCCAGGCATGGTGGTGGGTACCTCTAATCCCAGCTACTGGGAGGCTGAGGCAGGAGAATCACTTGAACCCAGGAGGTGGAGGTTGCACTGAGCTGATATTGTGCCACTGCACTCCAGCCTGGGCAACTGAGCCTCCATCTAAAAAAAAATAAAAATAAAATTAGCCAGGCATGATGGTGCATGCCTGTAATCCCAGCTACTTGCAAGGCTGTAGCAGGAGAATCGCTTAAACCTAGAAGGCAGAGGTTGCAGTGAGCCGAGATCCCACCATTACACTCTAGCCTGGGCAACAAGAGCAAAACTCCGTCTCAAAAAATAAACAAAAAGAAAATGGTAATGGTTATTTCTAACTCATTTATACCTCATTAACTCGTTTAAACTTCAGGTCTCTTTCATTTATTTTAGATAGTAATTATTACCATAGGAATAAGTACTGTTAACTTTACTCCTGTACACTTGCTATTAAAAAAAAAAAAAGTTTTTTTTGAGACAGGGTCTTGTTGTCATCCAGGCTGGAGTGCAGTGGCATCTTCGTGCTCACTTCATCCTTGACTTCCCAGGCTCCAGAAATTTTCCCACCTCAGCCTCCCGAGTAGTTGGGGCTACAGATGTATGCCACCACGACTGGCTAGTTTTTGTATTTTTGTAGAGATGGGGTTTTGCCATGTTGCCCAGGCTGGTCTGAAACTCCTGAGCTCAAGCAGTCCACCCATCTCAGCTCCCAAAGTGCTAAGATTAGCAGCATGAACCACAGCGCCCAGCCTCTCTTTCTCTTTTTAACAGCCCTGAGTACTAGACCAGGTTAATTGGCAGGATGTGAGCAGTCTATTTATTCATTTATTTATTTAGAGGTGGAGTTTCACTCTTGTCGCCCAGGCTGGAGTGCAGTGGCACGATCTCAGCTCACTGCAGCCTCCACTTCCCAAGTTCAAGTGATTCTCCTGCCTCAGCCTCCGGAGAAGCTAGAATTGCAGGCACGTGCCATCACCCCCAGCTAATTTTTGTATTTTTAGTAGAGATGTTGTTTCGCCATGTCAGTCAGACTGGTCTCGAACTCCTGGCCTCAAGTGATCCACCTGTCTCAGCCTCCCAAAGTGCTGGGATTACAGGCGTGAGCCGCCGCTCCCAGTTGTTTGTTGTTTTTTTTATTTTTACTTTTTTTTAAGTTCTGGGGTAGATGTGCAGGACATGCAGGTTTGTTACATAGGTAAAATGTGCCATGGGGGTTTGCCGCACCTATCAAACCATCACCTAGGTATTAAGCCCAGCATGCTATCCCCAACTACCCTCCCCCATTGTGTGTTCTTTATCCTTCAGAATTAGTGAATGATTTTTACTGCTTTATAATTTCTTTTTTTTTTTCAATTGGCCTTCTCCAGTTGAATGATTTCCTTTTTGTTAATTTCCTTTTTTCTGATTTCTCCACTGTGTTCCCTTTCTGCTTCCTCTCTCCCAGTACCAAAGCAAAAAGACAACAGAAACTTCCGATCCATTTCCGTGAAATGGGGCTCCTCCATTCCCAACAAACCACCCATTAAAACATTTTTTTGTTTTCCCCTGTCTACTGTCTTTCCCTTTTCCCCTGTTCTTGAACTTAGAAGGACAGCAGAAATGCAGCCTGATGCAGTGGTTTACATTTCTAATCCCAGCACTTGGAAAGGCTGAGGCTGGAGGATCACTTGAGCCCAGGAGCTCAACACCAGCCTGAGCAACACAGTAAGATTCTTACTCTACAATAAATAAAAGATTAGCCGGGCAGGCCAGGTGCAGTGGCTCATGCCTGTAATCCCAGCACTTTGGGAGGCTGCAGTGGGCAATCACGAGGTCAAGAGATCGAGACCATCCTGGCCAACATGGTGAAACTCTGTCTCAACTAAAAATACGAAAATTAGCTGGGCATGGTGGCATGTGCCTGTAATCTCACTTACTCCAGAGATTGAGACAGGAGAATCGCTTGAACCCGTGAGGCAGAGGTTGCAGTGAACCGAGATCGTACCACTGGACTCCAGCCTGGCAACAGAGTTAAGACTCTGTCCCCACCCCCCCACAAAAAAAAAATTAGCCAGGCATGGTGGTGAGCTCCTGTAGTCCTGGCTACTTGGGAGGTTGAGGTGGGAGGACTGCCTGAGCCTCAGGAGGTTGAAGCTTCAGTGAGCCATGATCATGCCACTGCACCACTCTAACCTGGGCAACAGAGCGAGACCCTGTCTGCAGAAAAAAAAGAAAGAACTGTTAGGTTGTGATTTTCTTTTTTTTTTTAATTTTTATTAGATGATGCCTCGCTTGATATTTTGTGATTAGGGTTAGCTTTAGCTTGAAGGGTTACTTACTCACGCCAGAGTTTCCATTTAATCCCTGTGCTGTGGTCCGAGACTTCTGAATGCTTTCTGACCTTTAAAAAAAAAAATTTTTTTTTAAATAAAAATTTACAACTAGAGCACTTAGTTTGCTCTGTGCTACATCCAAAAACTAAAAATAGTCTACTACTCTGGGCATATTTCCTGTAGGGTAGCCCTGCTCCTCAAGGAGCAGTAAAAAATGAAACAATCCCTGTCAGGAAGGTACATGCATTCTAATAGGGGAGATAAGACCTGCTAGGATATCTCTAATGTACAGTATTCGATCAAAGTCTTAATAATTCATTCTTTGAAATGTCTCTGCTCTGCCTCTTCCTTTCTATTCTCACTTCACCCCAGTGGGTATTTTGATTACACAGTGTGGCACAATGCACCAGGCCATTCCCAACTACATCAGACGCCAGCAAAAGGTGACTTGAATATGAGTCTGCACATCAGCACGCTGTGGTCTTATGTCTTGAAAGTTGCAGCATGACTGATGCCTACCCAGACATGCTTTTCTTCTTTTTCTTTTTTTTTTTTTTTGAGACGGAGTTTCGCTCTTGTTACCCAGGCTGGAGTGCAGTGGCTCAATCTCGACTCACTGTATCCTCTGCTTCCTGGGTTCAAGCGATTCTCACCTCAGCCTTCCAAGTAGCTGGGACTATAGGCAAGTGCCTATAGTCACCCAGCTAATTTTAGTATTTTTAGTAGAAACAGGGTTTCACCATGTTGGCCAGGATGGTCTCAATCTGTTGACCTGGTTATCTGCCCACCTCGGCCTCCCAAAGTGCTGGGATTACAGGCGAGTGCCACCACACCTGGCCTCACAGATGCTTTTTGTTGCAGTCCTCCTTTCCCAGTTCTCCAAATTATGACTGCATTTTCAAAATCTCTTTAAATTTCCTTGTTTGAAATATGATTTGGAATGGAGCCATTCCACCCGCCACACACACACCAAAGAAATATGAGAGAATGACAACTCTAATGATACGCTACAGAGAGTTTATAATCAGGGCATTAAGCAAACTCACAAATTATATTTCTCTCCTAGAATTGTAAGTAGAAGGTACAGATTTGGAGCATTTTTTCCACTGGTGTATTTATGAGAAATGTTGTTTATTCTCATCAGACATTTAGTAAACAAAACAACCTAATGAATTGGTCCTAATGAATATACCTTGAGAATGGCTGTTTTATCCCCAGCTTGATTAGGGAGGCTCTGTTGATACCAAATCTTTTAAGTGGTTTTCCTGATACTTTCCCCCTCCCCCATATTCTCCATTTAGTTGAGCAACTTGCATCTTAAGGAAGAGAAAATCAAACCAGATGCCAATGGTAAGTAACTAACAGCTAGTTTGAAAACAAATGTGATTTCCTTCAGTATTTCTGTTTTGGCATAACAGCTGTCTGGAAAAAAAAAAAAAAAACTATTTGTACTAGGCAGGGCATTGGCAGATACTGGTAACCATTTGATTTGTGAACCAACAAACTGGATTATATGACCAAAGTGTTTTAATTTTTTTATGTTTATTTGTTTACTTTTTAAGAGACAGGGTCTTGCTCTGTTGCCCAGGCTGGAGTGTAGTAGTGCTATCATGGTTCACTGGAGCCTCAACCTCCCAGACTCAAGTGATCCTCCGCCTCAGCCTTCTGAGTAGCTGGGACTACTGGCACAACCCACTATGCCCAACTAATTTTTTATTTTTGATTTTTTGTAGAGATGAGATCTCCCTATGTTACCCAGGTTGGTTTCTAACTCCTGGGTTCAAGCAGTCCTCCCACCTCAGCCTCCCAAAGTGTTGGGATTACAGGAGTGAGCTACTACATCTGGCTTCAAAGTGTTTTTAATATAAGAATGAGGACTGCACACTGACAGCAAGGGAGGGGGTGAAAAAAATGAGGATACTTAAGTGGGACTAATTACTAACCATGGGACTATACTGACAAAGACTAATTTTTTTCTTAATGTTCTTCAATTTGGGATGAGATAGACAAAGTATGAGCAACCTGACAGTTTATTTATTCTTAAATCATATTTATCAAAAATTTAAGATTTCCATTAAATTACTGTTGATATACTTAATATTACAGGAAGTAAATGTAACATCTGCCTTTCTCAAAATTCACTTAAAATCTTTTTTGTGTGATTTTTATATAACCATAGTATCATTCGACTATAGATTTTATGAATCATGTGTAATCCCAGTACTTTGGGAAGCTGAGGCCGACGGATTATCGGAGGTCAACAGTTCAAAACCAGCTTGACCAACATGGTGAAACCCTGTCTCTACTAAAAATACAAAAATTTGCTGGGTGTGGTGGTGCACACCTATAATCCTAGCTATTCAAGATACTGGGACAGTGGAATCTCTTGAATCCAGGAGGCAGAGGTTGCAGTGAGCCAAGATCGCACCACTACACTCCACCCTGGCCAAGAGTGAGACTCTGTCTCAAATAAAGAAAAACAAATTTATATACATGAATATTTTTTGTTGGTCTTGGTGCTCATTTGTTATATACATGAATCTGAATGGCATCAGTGTGTTCACATATTGATAAAATACAATTTGCATAGATATTCCTCTTTTGAGCATCAAGGTAGTTTTCCGATCACTAATCGCTCTAATAATCTTTCTATAATATTTCAGAAGTACTGATTCAATGAGGGAAATACTAGATTTTGAGGTACGGGGAGGAGACCTAGAGTAGGAAAGAATAGAAATATGAACATCAGTGTTTTACATCTTTGTTTATTTAGGGATAATAAAATGTTTTTTATCAGTGCCTCGGTTTCCTCATTTATTTTTTGCTCCCCAGGCCTTTACAAAAACTTCTAGTGTCATAGAATTTGAATTGTGTCAGCTGTTGGGTATCGGATGTGATTCTGAATGATGGCCACTTTGTGTCTGCTAAAGGTGCTGTTGTCAAGACCAGTGCCAATGCAGAGAAGACAGATGAAGAAGAGAAAGGTAACACAGCCATGGAGCTTTATATAATAACAAGCTTCTGCATTCTAAGAAAGTGGATTGTTGTCTTCAAGAAACTTGCTACATACAATGGTAAAAACAAGGTTAAGCAAACAAAAAAAAGAAAAAGAAAAGAAAGTGGATTGTTATGAAGCTTCGTTTTTATACCCAGTTTGGCTTGACTAATAGGAGATACAGTGCTAGCATAAAAGTTCATTATACTCAGTAGGCGAAGGAATTCTAATGGTTTACATTTAAAGAAATTTTACATTGAACAACTGAACAGTTGAACAAGGTGTTATAAAAGAAATTTTAAGTTGCTTCTCTATTGTTCAATAAAATTAAGCTTAATGATGTTTTGATATATTTGACATGGATGATGAGATCAACTTATAAAATATTAAGGTATAGACTTTAATTCCTAATTTTTTTCATTGTTGTGATATGTTAATTACTTTAGATTTATATGGAGTGCAAACTGGGGAGTAAATATGTGGGTCTGGATAGGAGGAATAGATAACTGCAGGTAAAGAGGGCTGTTAGAGTATGGAGAAGAATATGAGGCTTAAATGAGTCGTGTGAGTATCATAACCTTTTTTTTTTAAAATAAACTATTTTAATTTATAAGTCAAAACTATAATGTACCTTGAATTTGAATGATCAGTAGTTTTTTTTTTTTTTTTAAGACGGGGTTTCACCATGTTGGTCAGGCTGGTCTTAAACTCCCGGCCTCAGGTGATCCGCCCGCCTTGGCCTCCAAAGTGCTTAGATTACAGGTGTGAGCCACCACGCCTGGCCTAGTACATTATTATTTAAAACACAAATGGCAACTGAATTCGAGTAAACACCTGGTAGGTTTCAAAGACTTTTAAAATTCTTTGCTTTTGCCAGGCACGGTGGCTCACGCCTGTAATCCCAGCACTTTGGGAGGCCAAGGTGGGCAGATCACGAGGTCAAGAGATCAAGACCATCCTGGCCAACATGGTGAAACCCCATCTCTACTAAAAAATACAAAAATTAGCTGGGCGTGGTGGCGCAAGCCTGTAGTCCCAGCTACTCGGGAGGCTGAGGCAGGAGAATTGCTTGAACCCAGGAGTGCAGTGAGCTGACATTGCGCCACTGCACTCCAGCCTGGTGCCTGATGACAGAGAGAGACTCTGTCTCAAAAAAAAAAAAAAAAAAAAAAAAATTTTTTGCTTTTTTTTCCTGACAGAGGATAGAGCTGCCCAGTCCTTACTCAACAAGCTGATCAGAAGCAACCTTGTCGATAACACAAACCAAGTGGAAGTCCTACAGCGGGATCCAAACTCCCCCCTGTACTCGGTGAAGTCTTTTGAAGAGCTTCGGCTGTGAGTATTTATTCACTTCCTGACTCTTCCCTTTGCACTGAAATAGAGATCTTAGGCCTGTTATAGATATCTTTTTACTTTTTATCACAACAGAACAGTTTTAGCTAACCAAGTTTTTTTTTTTTTTTTTTTGAGACAGAATCTTGCTCTGTCCTCTGTCACCTGGGCTTGGAGTACTGGAGTGCAGTAGCATGATCTCGGCTCACTGCCACCTCTGCTCCCAGGTTAAACCAATTTTCCTCCCTCAGCCTCCTGAGTAGCTGGGATTACAGGCGTGCACCACCACACCTGGCTAAGTTTTGTATTTTTAGTAGAAATGGGGTTTCACCATGTTGGCCAGGCTGGTCTCAATCTGCTGACCTCATGATCCATTGGCCTTGGCCTTGGCCTCCCAAAGTGCTGGGATTACAGGCATGAGCTACTGCGCCCAGCCGCTGCCCAAATTTTATAAAAGAATTTAGCTGGGTGCAGTGGTGCACACCTCCAGTCCCCGCACTTTTGGAGGCCAAAGTGAGAGGATCACTTGAGGCCAGGAGTTCCAGACCAGCCTGGGCAACAGAGCAAGACCAGACTCCATCTAAAAAATATAAATAAATACTTTAGGTGTTTGGGATATTTAGTAAAATTTCCAGATGATCTATAAAAGTTTTAGTTGTATTAACATGTATTCAGCACAGCTCAATTATTGTTGATTACAGACTATGTATAGGCCAGGCACAGTAGCTCACACCTGTAATCCCAGCACTTTGAGTGGCTGAGGCAGGCAGACCACTTGAGGTCAGGAGTTCAAGACCAATGTGGCCAACATGGTGAAACCCTGTCTCTACTGAAAATACAAAAATTAGTGGGGCATGGTGACATGCACCCGTAATCACAGCTACTCGGGAAGCTTGAGGCACAAGAATTGCTTGAACCTGGGAGGCAGAGGTTGCAGTGAGCTGAGACTGCACCACTGCACTGCAGCCTGGGCAATAAGCAAGACTCTGTCTGAAAAACAAACAAAAATCTATGTGTAAACAGTAAAAGAGAAAAATCTTCCAGATACTTTGCTGCCTTCCTCAACCAAAGAGACTGTGACTTTCATCTTTAACTGTTTTTCTAGGAAACCACAGCTTCTCCAAGGAGTCTATGCCATGGGTTTCAATCGTCCATCCAAGATACAAGAGAATGCATTGCCACTGATGCTCGCTGAGCCGTATGTGTCCTGTTACAATCCATTTCATTTTAGATTTCCCATTTTTAAATTGAAAATATTAGAAGAGACCAGCATTATCACTAGAATTATCTAGTACCTTTCATCATTAACAAATATTTATTGAGTGCCTGGTATGTAACAGATACTATGCTAGGCAGTTATATACATTAGTCAACAAAACAGACCAAAATTCATGCCCACAGGAGCTTACATTCTAGTTTGAAATGTAGATAATTCATTTTTATTAAAATATAACAGGTAATAAATTACAAATGTTAATGCTGCTGAATAGTATACTTAAAAGTGGGTAAAAGAGCAAATGTTATATATTTTTTACTTCAATTAAAAATAATAAATTTTGGCTGGGTGCAGAGGCTGACGCCTGTAATCCCCACATTTTGAGAGGCCAGGGCAGGCAGATCACTTGAGATCAGGAGTTCAAGACCAGCCTGGCCAACATGGTGAAACCCCACTCTACTAAAAATACAAAAACTAGCCAGGTGTGATGGCAGGCACTTGTAGTCCCAGCTACTCAGGAAGCTGAGACGAGAATTGCTTGAACCTGGGAGGTGGAGGTTGCAGTGAGCCAAGATCGCACCACTGGACTCTAGCCTGGGCAACAGAGTGAGACTGTCTCAAAAAAAAAATTATTATAATTATAATAAATTTTGGCCAGGCAGGGCGGCTTATGCCTGTTATCCCAGGAATTGGGGAGGCCAAGGCAGGCAGATGGCTTGAGTCCAGGAGTTTGGGACCAGCCTGGGAAGCATTGTAAGACTTCATCTGTATTAAAAGGCAAAAATAAAAAAGAAATTAAATGTACAACACTTTATTCTAACTACAAAGGGCAACAGATGTTTTGATAGGGAATCTATTTTTCTTTTCTTTTTTTTTTTTTTTTTTTTTTTTTTTTTTTTTCAGAGAACATGCCAAGTAAGGGAATCTATTTCTCTTCTTTTTTTCTTTTTTTCTCCAACCTATATAAGCACTGAGAGACAGGGAATCTAGATGTTTAAACAGAAATAGAATCAAGAGTTACCACTGTGGCGGCCAGATGCAGTGGCTCACACCTGTAATCCCTGCACTCTGAGAGGCTGAAGCGAGCATATCACTTGAGGTCAGGAGTTCGAGACCAGCCTGGCCAACATGGTGAAACCCATCTCTACAAACAAACAAACAAAAAAAGCCAGGCACTATGGTGCATGCCTGTAGTCCCACTACTCAGGAAGCTGAGGCACAAGAATTGCTTGAAACCTGAGAGGTGGCGGCTGCAGTGAACTGAGATCATGCCACTGCACTCCAGCCTGGGCAACAGAGTGAGACCATGTCTCCAAACAAACAAACAAAAAAGAGTCACCATCACCTCGGGCACAAGGAACAGCTTATTTTTGTCAGATTTTAAAACTCCACTTGTGGCTGGGGGTCTTCCCCCATGACTTCACTTTTAGTTCAAGTTTCTTCTGTTTTTTTTTTTTTTTTTTTTTTTTTTTTCAGACTTTCATTCTCTACCCACAGTCTCACTTCCTCTTCTCTCCTTTGCCCTTGCTATGAGCTTCTACCCTTTTTAATCCTGCTGGAAGACCTCATTTTCCTTGTCCATCTCTTTGGCCTGCTGCTGCTGCTGTTTTTTTTGAGACAGGGTCTTGCTCTGTCACCGGGGTTGGAATGCAGTGGCACAGTCTCAGATCACTGCAGACTGCAACCTCCACCCTCTACCTCCTGGGCTCAAGGGATCCTCACACCTCAGACTCCCAAGTAGCTGGGACTACAGGTATGTACCACCATGTCCAGTTAATGTTTGTATCTTTTGTAGAGACAGGGTTTCAGTATTTTGCCCAGCTGGTCTCAAACTCCTAGGCTGAAGAAATCCACCCACCTCAACCTCCCAAAGTGCTGAGATTGTAGGCATGAGCCACCACACCTAGGCTGGAGTGCAGTGGTGTGATCTCAGCTCACTGCAACCTCCACCTCCCAGGTTCAAGCGATTCTCCTGCCTCAGCCTCCCGAATAGCTGGGACTACAGGTACCTGCCACCACGCCCAGCTAATTTTATGTATTTTTAGGAGTGGCAGGGTTTCACCATGTTGGCCACGCTGGTCTCAAACTCCTGACCTCAAGTGATGCACCCACCTTGGCCTCCCAAAGTGCTGAGATTACAGGTGTAAGCCACCATGCCAAGTCTTGCCTGCTTCTTGAGCTGCTTCAGAGGCTGCTGCTTGCCACCTTCAAGGCAAGACTTGGTTCTTGCCACTGTTGCTCCCTACCCTGCCACCAAAACCTACATCTTGTTTTTTTTTAGGCATTTCAAGGTAGATTACACTTTTAAATCAAGTGGTTATGGTAGGATCTCCTGAAGTAGGTGATAGCTGGGCAAAGACTTGATGGAGAGAAAGGAATTAGTATGTTACCTGGGGACAGCTGTCCCAAGCAGAGTACAGCCAATGCACAAGCCCTAAGAAAGAGCATGGCTGGCCTCTTCCCTGAGCAGCACTGGGGCCGTGTGCTGGAGCGAAGTAAGGGATAGAGAGTAGTAAGAAATGACAGCTGAGGTGTAATGGGGAGCAGATCATGCAGGACCCTGTATGCCATTATGAGGCTTTCAACTTGTACTTTGAATGAAATGAGGAATGATTGGAAGGTTTTTGAGCAGAGAAGTAACATGAGCTGACTCACATTTTAAAAGAATCAGTAGACCCACTGCGGTGGCTCACACCTATAATCCCAGCACTTTGGGAGGCTGAAGGAGAAGGATCACTTGAGCCCAGGAGGTCGAGGCTGCAGTGGGCCAAGTTGATCAGGCTGCACTGCATTCCAGCCTGGTCAACAGAGTGAGACCTCATTTCAAAATAATAAAAAAAAAAAGATGTGGAGTGCCTCAAATCCCACTAGAAAACCTTCTTTCTATAGTGCTTTGTTCTTGTGAAGCTGGAGTATGTAACTGCTATACTCTCATCCAAGGTCTCTTTCCATACATGAATTTTTAATACTGATTTTTTAAAAACTTTATTAATTAAAAGATTACTTGAGATTTAAGCTCCTAACCAGTTTGTTTCTTGTTCAGCCCACAGAACTTAATTGCCCAATCTCAGTCTGGTACTGGCAAAACAGCTGCCTTTGTGCTGGCCATGCTTAGCCAAGTAGAACCTACAAACAAATACCCCCAGGTAAGGACTTGGGAATTTAGGTTTAGAAGGGGATTTCCATTTGATGGATTAAAAGCCAAGCTATGGGCCAGGCACAGTGGCTCATGCCTGTATTTCCAGCACTTTGGGAGGCCGAGGAGGGCGGATCACCTGAGGTCAGGAGTTCTAGACCAGCCTGACCAACATGGTGAAAACCTGTCTGTATTAAAAATAAACAATTAGCCAGACATGGAGGCTGAAGCAAGAGAATCACTTGAACCTGAGAGGCACTGATTGCAGTGAGCTGAGATCACACCATTGCACTCCAGCCTGGACCAAAAGATCAAAACTCTGTCTCAAAAAAATAGAAGCCAGGCTATGAATAATTTTTACACAAACTAAACTCCTTAAATTGAGCACAAATAATATGGTATATCTTCCAGTGGCAACAAAAATCCTGTTTCCTTTTCCATGAGCCAGTTCTGGGATACTTCATACAGGCTTGGCTCCTTTAGTTGCAGGAAAACCTGTTTCATCTGCAACTGTCATCCATTAGAAAGTTCTGAGAGCTTTCTGAGTAAGTGAAAAGAAAGCTAATGCCAATTGGAACTTTAGATCCTTGCTTGTGGGTGGGTTTTTCTATTTCAGTGGCTGGTATCTGTTTTCAAGTGTCTTTACCCAGCCAGAGTTCTGACCCCTAAGAATTCTAGCTATGACTTTGTAGCTTAAAGAATCAAATGGTGGCCGGGTGCAGTGGCATGTGCCTGTTGTGCCAGCTACTAGGGAGGCTGGGTGGGCAGATCATTTGAGCCCAGGAGTTCTGGGCTGTAGTGTACTATGCCAATCGGGTGTCCGCACTAAGTTTGGCGTCAATATGGTGACCTTCTGGGAGCGGGGGACCACCAGGTTGCCTAAGGAGGGGTGAACCAGCCCAGGTCGGAAACAGAGCAGGTCAAAACTCCTGTGCTGATCAATAGTGGGATCACGCCTGTGAACAGCCACTGCACTCCAGCCTGGGCAACATAGTGAGACCCTGTCTCAAGAAACAAACAAAAAAACAAAGAAATGGTATACACTTTAATGTACATATTCTTTCCTTCAGCTTCAGCTGGAGGAGTGGCTGAGTCCTAGTGGTAATTCCCCTTTGCAAAAGAGCTATTGTCTTGAATTTGCACTCTGCATTCTTTCCCTGCCAGTGTCTATGCCTCTCCCCAACATACGAGCTTGCCCTCCAAACAGGAAAAGTGATTGAACAAATGGGCAAATTTTACCCTGCACTGAAGTTAGCTTATGCTGTTCGAGGCAATAAATGTGAGTATGTGAATGTGATCCTAGATCATTAACCTAATTCTTTTTATTTTGAAATGTTTTAAAACATACCCAATAGCTAAAATAATACACACATGTATTTTCTCCACCTAGATTCAAAAACCTAACATTTTGCCATATTTGCTTTATATATACACATGTATATATTTTTGTCAAACCATTTGTAAGTAAACTGCAGATATGCATCTCATGAGACATTCTTTGGCATTCCTGTGGATACCCTTATCACAACCAGGAAAATTGATTTCCTAGAATAACTAATATCCAGTCAATTTTTATTCCTCCCCAGCTGTCCCCAAAGTGTTCCTTTATGGCTGTTTGGTTTCTGAACCAAGATCAAGTCAGCGTTCAGTGTTTAGACATTGCACTTGGTTGTTGTACTTTGTTTCTTTCGATTTAGCTAGAATTGTCCTCCTACCTTTTTCTCTCCCTATTACATTTAACGTTTTGCAAGACCAGACCAGTTGCTTTTCAAAGAGTCTGCATTCTAGATGTGTTTATTTTTATTTATTTTAGAAACAGGGTCTTGCTCTGTTGCCCAGGCTGGAGTGCAGTGTTGTGCAATCATACCTCAGTGAAGCCTAAAACTCCTGGTCTCAAGCAATTCTCTCACGTGGGCCTCCCTAATAGCTAGGATGACAGGTGGACATCACTGCACCCAATGTTTTTTAATTAATTTTTTTAAATTTAATTTTATTTATTATTTATTTATTTATTTTGAGATAGAGTCTCCCTCTGTAGCCCAGGCTGGAGTACAGTGGTGTAATCTTGGCTCACTGCAGCCTCCATCTCTTGGGTTCAAGCAGTTCTCCTGCCTCAGCCTCCCAGGTAGCTGGGATTATAGACACCACCACCATGCCTGGCTAATTTTTGTATTTTTAGTAGAGACAGGGTTTTGCCATGTTGGCCAGGCTGGTCTTGAACTCCTAACCTCAGGTGATCAGCCCATCTTGGCTTCCCAAAGTACTAGGATTACAGGCATGAGCCTCTGTGCCCGGCTGCAACCAGCTAATTTTCTAAAAATATTCTTTTGTAGGGCAGGTGTGGTGGCTAACGCCTGTAATCCCAGCACTTTGGGAGGTCAAGACGGGTGGATCACATGGTCAGGAGATGGAGACCATCCTGGCCAACACAGTGAAACTCTGTCTCTTAAAAAAAAAATTTTTTTTCTACACTAGTTTGTTTTACAACTAATATTATTTAAGTAATTTTAAAAGTGTTGTTGCCCAGGCATGGTGGCTCACACCTGTAGTCTCAGAACTTTGGGAGGCCGAGGCAAGTGGCTCATTTGAAGGTCAGGAGTTTGAGACAAGCCTGACCAACATGGAAAAACCCTGTCTCTACTAAAAATACCAAAAAATTAGCCAGGCACGGTGGCACACACCTGTAATCCCAGCTACTCAGGAGGCTGAGGCAGGAGAATCGCTTTAACCTGTGAGGGGGTTACAGTGAAGCAGGATCACACCGCTGCACTCCAGTCTGGGTGACAGAGTAAGACTCTGTCTCAAGAAAAAAAAAAAGTGTTGCTAGAGGTTTGGTTGCATTTTATGGATCTCTGAAATAAATGTGACTTTATGACTTGCAGAAATCAAGTCTACATACAATGTCCTAATGCCAACTTGAAGCCAACTTTACTTGCAAAGTAAATAACATAATGAAACTTATTGGAAAATAATCATTAAAAATTTTCCAATTTGGATTTAAGTTAAAAGGGCAGATAAACAGAGTTTCCCTCATTGCCCAGGCTGAAGTACAGCAATGCAATCCTGGCTCACTGCACCCTCTGCCTCCTGGGCTCAAGTGATTCTTGTGTCTCACTTTCCTGAGTAGCTGGGATTACAGGCGTGCACCACCACGCCTTGCACCACAACGTAAAAGCAACTGACATATTTGAAATAGATGACAAGATAGCTGAGGGGGCAGAGTGTATTAGAAAGATAAGAACTGTTAACGAGTCTGCCTAAGAGGAAGTGTCCTAGTCTAGGTAGAACATTGTTGGCAAAAAAAATAACATTAAAGATCAGGAGACCAGGCATGGTGGCTTACACCTGTAAGCCAAGCACTTTGGAGGCCAAGGCGGGCGGATCACCTGAGGTTGGTAGTTCAAGACCAGCCTGACCAACATGGTGAAACCCCGTCTTAAAAAATTAAAAAAAAAAAAAAAATCAGGTACTTCAGAGAGAATTGTATGATTATAGAGGAGAACAATGTCACTGAAGAAGTTTCATCTTCTAATTGTTTATATCCTTACTATCTACGCCTTTTCAGAATTTTTTTTTCTAATTTTTGAACTTTTGTGGGTACATAGTAGGTGTGTATGTTTATGGGGTACATGAGATGTTTGATACAGCTGCAGTGAGCCATGACTGTGTCTCTGCACTCTAGTCTGGGCAACAGAGTGACACCCTGTCTCTAAATAAATAAATAAACAAACATAAAGAGTTGGATGATGTTGAATGATAGGAGGAAGCAGAAGGGAACTGATGCTTATTCAAGGTTTGCTGTGTGGGATTTGATCCTGAACACAGTGCACTGAGATAGGTGGCATCTGGCCACTTCACAGCAGAAGAAACCAAGGCTGAAGGGAACACTCATGTGTGTTTTGAAATCTGGAAATAACTTGTTCTCCTAGTCCTAGAAGGATGGGCAGAGCTTTGATTTCCAGAGCGGGCTTTGCCTTTGAAATACCCATGAAAGTCACCTGGGTCTCCACAGTGGAAAGAGGCCAGAAGATCAGTGAGCAGATTGTCATCGGCACCCCTGGGACCGTGCTGGACTGGTGCTCCAAGCTCAAGTTCATTGATCCCAAGAAAATCAAGGTGTTTGTTCTGGATGAGGCTGACGTCATGATAGCCACTCAGGGCCACCAGGATCAGAGCATCCGCATCCAGAGGTAGGGATCTCGAGGGCAGAGGACCTCTCAGCCTCCTCTTTGGCAGCGTCTTCTCCCTTTACTTCAGACGCTTCCTCTGGCTTCTGCTGGGTCTTGGCTCTGGCATTCTCAGCAGCATTTGTTTGACGGGCCATTTCCATGTCAGCACCGACCACAGTCCCTCCAATCCTGGGTTGAGAAAGGAGATCTAGGGACTCTTCCCCACCCCTACCCTCAACCCAGGCCTGCTGCTCCTCCTCCCTGAGATGCTTCTCCCCCGTCAGCCTTCCTGGGCACCTAGACCCTCCCAGCTGGGGAGGCTGTGCTTCTGTTGCTTCCTGGGGACACCTGGGGCCACATGCCAGGGCCTTCCCTTGCAGGATGCTGCCCAGGAACTGCCAGATGCTGCTTTTCTCCGCCACCTTTGAAGACTCTGTGTGGAAGTTTGCCCAGAAAGTGGTCCCAGACCCAAACGTTATCAAACTGAAGCGTGAGGAAGAGACCCTGGACACCATCAAACAGTACTATGTCCTGTGCAGCAGCAGAGACGAGAAGTTCCAGGCCCTGTGTAACCTCTACGGGGCCATCACCATTGCTCAAGCCATGATCTTCTGCCATGTGAGTAGCAGCAGCAGGCCTGGCCCCTCCCTCTCAGCCAGCTCCAAGCAGGGCTCAGGAGGACTGGATGTCCCTGGGTGCCATGGGAAGAGAAGTGGTTGGTGAAGATTTAAGAGACAGGTTCTCCTTTAGTGGCTAATTGTACTATCGCAAGGTATACATAGCCTAAACACAGAGGCCCTGAACTTTATGTCTTATTTGTGGATAATATATTATTGCAAAACCAAGAAAATCAACTCATATTTGTGCCCTAGGTTAAATATTTTGTGGTATAAATTTTTTTTTTTTTTTTTTTTGAGACAGGGTCTCACTCTGTTGCCCCGGCTGGAGTGCATTGGTGCAATCTTGGCTGCTCACTGCAGCCTCGACCTCCCAGGTTCAAGCTATCCTCTTGCCTCAGCCCCCACAAGTAGCTGGGACTTACAGGCTCCCCACCACGCCTAGCAGAGACAGGGTTTCGCCATGTTGCCCAGGCTGGTCTTGAACTCCTGACTTCAAGTGATCCGTGTACCTTAGCCTCCCAAAGTGCTAGGATTACAGGTGTGAGCCACCACGCCCAGCCTCTACAAATACTTTTGTAAGATTACAACCCAGGTGACATTGTTACTTCCTGTTGCACTATATCTCGTTTATAATTTTAAGAAATGTAGCCTTTAGCTGCTAAATTTCAGGTATAGCCTTCCAGATTAAAAAATACCTTCAGCTGACCGCGGTGGCTCATACCTATACTCCCAGCACTTTGGGAAGCCAAGGCAGGACAATGGCTTGAGCCTAGGAGTTTTAAGATTACCCTGTCTCAAAAAGTAAAAAGAATATACTCAAATACTTTCATCTCTCAATTGTTTTTTTCCTCCAGACTCGCAAAACAGCTAGCTGGCTGGCAGCAGAGCTCTCAAAAGAAGGCCACCAGGTGGCTCTGCTGAGTGGGGAGATGATGGTGGAGCAGAGGGCTGCGGTGATTGAGCGCTTCCGAGAGGGCAAAGAGAAGGTTCTGGTGACCACCAACGTGTGTGCCCGCGGTGAGCAGAGGATGTGTCCCACCTGGTCTGCCAGGCTCGGGGTCCCAGGCCCAGTTAGAGCCAGAAATCCTTGCATACAGGAAAGTCTGATAGTCTCAGAGAGATAGGTGGGGTTGGTGACGATATTCCTTTCTAGGAAAGAGTGTTTGGATTTCCCTCAGGTGCAAAGAACTCCCACAGAAGCCAGGTGTCCTGACTTGGTGGAAGGAAATGTACAGGCATCTGACTGGTAGAGAACGGAGCCTGCTCTTCCAGGGGTGCCCATCTCCAGAACATTGTGTCTCCCAGAGGCTTACTGACGGATTTCATAATTTCGTTGGCACCTGTCAAAGGTCTATTCTTTTCCTCCAGGTTCTGCTCCCTGCCTGTATGTGCCCACTCTTGTACCCAGTTCCCAGAGTTGGCCTGTCCCAATTTTTTTTTGTTTTTGAGACCAAGTCTCGCTCTGTCACCCAGACTGGAGTGCAGTGGCACAATCTCAGCTCAATGCAACCTTCACCTCCCGGGTTCAAGCGATTCTCCTGCCTCAGCCTGGGATTACAGGTGCCCACCACCACGCCTGGCTGATTTTTGTATTTTTAGTAGAGACGGAGTTTTGCAGTGTTGGCCAGGCTGGTCTTGCACTCCTGACCTCAGGTGATCCGCCTGCCTTGGTTTCCCAAAAAGCTGGGATTACAGGTGTGAGCCACTGCACGCAGCCCCTAAATTCTTTCCCTCTACTCAAAGTTGGTATGCATTGACTTACCTGTGGACAACAGTGATTTTTGTCTCCTGTCCTTACTTTTCTCCAACTCTCAGGGACTCATCACCTCTCCCTGCACCCCAGTTCCTGGTCCCTGCTAGTTTGGTTTCTGTGCCTGTAGTTTTGCCTTTTTTGGGCATCATCTAAATCTCATAGAGCCCGAACTTTCAGATCGGGCTTCCTCAACAGCATGCGTCTGTTAGTCCTGCGGTCCGTTAATAATGAGTCATATTCCATTGTGTGGATGGACCACACAACTGATTTGTGTCCTGTCCTTAGTCCTCTCAGCCTCCAACTCTGCTTCCTGCAGGGATCGACGTTGAACAAGTGTCCGTCGTTATCAACTTTGATCTTCCCGTGGACAAGGATGGGAACCCTGACAACGAGACCTACCTACACCGGATAGGGCGCACGGGCCGCTTTGGCAAGAGGGGCCTGGCAGTGAACATGGTGGACAGCAAGCACAGCATGAACATTCTGAACAGAATCCAGGAGCATTTTAGTGAGTCCCGGGGAGGGTCCTATGCCTGGCACACTTTCCTAAGTGGGGCAGGGTGGAGAAAGGGGTAGGATCTTCTGTAGCTCGGAGACAGCCTTTGTCCCTGGCACCCCCACTTCCTTTCTGACCGTATGGAAGTTCTCAGGGAGCACACCTGGAGACTTCAGGACCCAGGGACCCCAAGGACAGTTCTATGAGTAGGCTTGGGAACCTGGGGCTCTGACTGTTGCTGTCAGTAACTAGGGGCCCTGCTGCTCCCTGCTGAGGCAGCAGTAGCCTTTGGGGCTGAATGAATGATTGCTATGGCCTAAGGTAGGGCACACTCTCAGGGCAGGGTAGAGACCTCTGTATTTTTCCCCCAGATAAGAAGATAGAAAGATTGGACACGGATGATTTGGATGAGATCGAGAAAATAGCCAACTGAGAAGTTCCACCAGCCACTGGTGCCAGCCCTGGCACTGCCCCATCACGGGAGACAAGTGCGTTCAGGGCACAGGCCCCAACATCACCCCAAGGACAGCGGCACGAGGAGAGAGAAACTACCTACCTCACTTCAAATTATGTTTGGACTTGACAAAAATGTGTACAAATGATGGGGGATGGTAGAAAAAATTATTTACACAATATTGGAAAATTAGGCATGAATACACAGAGATTTACCTTTTGGAAGTTTCATCTTTTAATTTGGCCAGTGCTTCCTTCATGCTACTCTAGATGCTGCAGCTGATTTCTTACCCAGGATCTCCTGTGGCAGCCTGTGCTTGTTCTCTGGTTTGGAGTGGGTGGGCCAGCCTTCAGCTCCTGTGGAAGTCAGGGAATAGCAGTGAAAAGGGAACACAGAGAGACAGGCCTCCAATAGAATAGGTGTGTAAGCCCAGCCATCATGTCTGGAATGGCATGAGGCAGCAGAGGAGGCCTGAGAGCTGCTGCTTTGGACCTGGGGTGAGACAGCTCACCTGAGTATTGCCAGGCCCCCATCCTAATGTCCACAGCAGAAGGGGATTTGTTAAATAAGCATGGACCAAAATGCCAACCTCTCAGACCTTTGTATATGGGTTTGTGCCACAGGACTGTGGCCTATTCTCGGTGGGTACAGTCTGTATAGAGTGCGCATCTGATTAGTGGTGGGTCCTGTGCTTGTGTGTAAGCAAGTCCTGCAGAGAAGTCATCGTGGAGAATTACTGGTGGCCCCAGCTTGCCACAAAACCTGATCTCATGAGCATTTGCAACATCCTTTTTGTGTCCTTAATATCATCTTACTCCATAGTAGCCCCAAGCAAATGTGATCTGAGATTTAGTGAAAATTGTGGTTTCAAGTCTCTAATGGCCAGCTTCAAGGCAGTTCTAGACGTGGTCAGCAGTCGTCACAAATTCTTGCTTTGTCTCCATACCCAGAAGGCAAGTTTTGTCAGAGCTGGGAAGTGATTTCAGATATTTGACGTCTTTATTATAAAAGGCTTCTGAACAGCTGTGTTTACTACCTTTGGAATACAAACGGGTGCAGAAGGACTAGCTGCACTGCTGCTATTTATCTGCCTAAGGCAAGAGTATCACCAAGGCCTTTGCTTCAGCCTTACTTGACAGCTTTGTGCAAGATAGAGCAAACAGTAGTAATGGACACTACTCACACCTGGCCAAGGCTGTTGGTACCCATAGAATGACAGAAAAGATGAGAGGAAACTGAATTTTGCAAGAGCAATATGAAACCCCAGCCAAGAGGAGTACTCTTCAGTTCTTTGGCTTTGGTACAGAGTGGCCACTTACTCTAAGACCTGAAAGAAGAGTTTTATATGCCAAGAACTATTGCAATCCTAGGTCTTCCTTGTAGGCATCTCTGTATTTAGGCCAGATCTGTCTCCTGGGAAGGGAAGGGGCCAGTGTCAGCCTCCAGGTGGTTTCTTTAATCTGACAATCCAAAGAGACCAACAGACTGCCAATTCTACCACATTCCTAGGGTGGATACTTGACTATGTAAAGTCTTCTCTATGCTTCTGGTTAACTCTGACACATCTTGGAATTCTTGTAAAGAGAAAAGAAATTTTTATACTTTTTTCTCCTTCCCTGAGTCCTGTGGACCCACCCTGAAATAACTAAAACCAAGGGCAATAATTAAAGAAGTATAAGACTCTTCAGCCGGGTGCGGTGGCTCAAGCCTGTAATCCCAGCACTTTGGGAGGCTGAGGCGGGTGGATCACGAGGTCAAGAGATCGAGACCATCCTGGTCAACATGGTGAAACCCCGTCTCTACTA